ACTTTATTCTAATTGCTGTACATAGATGCATCCTCAGCACTCTCATCGTGCATTGACTAGTACTTAACTCAAATGTTTTTGTGGACATGAAAGGCTAAAAAATCCCTGCATATTCTCAGGGTACATGGGGATGCCATAGCTTAGGTCCTGCCTGTTTGTTTCATGATATTTTTCATCTGTTGGCAGAGGCCATGTAGGAGCAGTCTCCAGGGTGATTTTGTGCAGATCCTTTGTGCTATGCTGAGGTATCTTATCAGAAAATAGATTGTTAGTTAGGGGATAGATGCTATGTAATAACAGGCCATTAGTCATGTCTCTTGGTCCATAATGTGACCTACTTTTGATAAAAATGAATGACAAAAGTGACTGATTTAAGATGTGATTAACCAAGATATTTTAGGAAAGTGTGAAATATGCACTGGCTTAGTTTTTCTCACTTGCACTAATGAAAATTTCTGAGTGGGCTTCTGCATTGAAGTTGGCCACAAAGTAAAGTTACTTAAGTGAGGGAAGAAACTTTGTGTGCTTAAAATACTGCAAGGAAAAAAAAAAAGGTTTACTAATGTGTGGGATGACGTGTAGCTAAAAAATAACAACAACAACAACATCATCATCATAATCATAATCATCAACAACAGCAGCAACAACAACAGCAACAATAATAATAATAATAGTCTATACTTACATTGCCAGTTCTTGCTGGGTTTGGGATCTGTTAGGACTCTTGCAGATCCTTCCTTCTGATGATGACTTATTTTAGATGTGCCAGTGTTAAGTGCAGAAGTATAAAACACCCTTTTTCCTCTGTATCAACCACCCTTGTTTTGGTTTTGGTTCTGTTGAATGGGTAATCTTATCCTTTTGCAAAAATAATTGGTTAACGTGTATCACTTACCTAACACTGTCAATTACTTTTGGACTAGTGTTTCTCAAATTGATAGTTTAGAAGAAACTTTATTTTCTTTTCGTACATTAAAAAGAGTGTGAATTACATGAATCTAATATTCATTAGCTCTGTTAGCTTTATTTTTGTTTTGTTGGCTTTTCTGGGTTTTTTAGCCCTCTTTGGAAAGCCTTGTTAAATCTTGCAGACCTTTAAGTCTGTTTAAAAAATCCCAAAGCTGTAATCCCAATTTACCTGCTCTGTTGTGGGTTAAACATCTGCAGAGCTGCTGAGGAACTCAGACATGGATTTGCTAAAGGGCAGCTGCACTGGCCAGCTGGGAAATGGCAGATGACCTGCTGGTGTGAGAGCACTACATTCACATCCTTTCAGAGGGCCTACAGGCACATTCCCAGTGCCCCAGATGACTAAAGAGTTCTGGATCTGTGTCTGGCCACATTCAGGGCAAAGATGACATGTTACAAGTGGGGCTGTTTGATTTATAGTAAGAAAAATTAAAGCCTTGGGCTTGGAGGGGGTGGGGGATTAAATGTGGCTTCTGTCTGTGAATGGGGAACCTGCCTTTAAAAAGGGTATTGAATTTTGATTTTAATTCCCTTGTTTGTGTTAGTCTTTCCTTTCTAGATCCAGAATAGCTGGGGCTATATTTAGCAAAATGTGTTTGTCCTTAAATTTCTGTGCAGTTGAATACCAGCTTGCAATTCAGCTGTACTGAAATCCGTTGAAAAGGAGATATTGGTGTGCTGTTTGTTCAGATTTCTGTGTTTAACAAAGAAAAGCTGGAAATATACTCAGTTCCGCTCTCCTTACTCTTTCACAATAATTGCTCCCTCTTAATTGCAGTACCTTATGCAATAAATGGTCCCATGGGATACACCAAGACTGTTTAGGGAATTGAATACCACAGTGTTGGCGGAAATGGAAAAAATGAACAGTGCTTTTAAGAAGTGCAGCATTTGACAAAACACTCAGTTTGTACATGTATCAAACATTAATTCTTTTTTTTTTACTTATGAATACATTTAAATTCTTACAGAAGAGTATCATGTTAATGAAGCTTTTTATGGCATCTGTGAAATTTGGGACCCTGTTAAATGAATTCTACTTTAAATGACTTTGAACTCTACTACTGTAGCCTTGAAAAACGTTTTTATACTCTAAAGTATATCTTGATTTGGTTGGGTTTCTCTATGAAAAAAAAAAATCTCACATTTTATGAGTTCTGCCAAAAGCAGTCACATGGACAAAGCTTGGCTCATGCATACTTGAATTAGTGCTCAAACCTGCTCAGTATTGCAGGTGTCTAAAATGTTTCAGTTAAAACTGCTTTTTCTTGAGTGTCCTGGTGGGACCTTAGTGGGATTTTTGTAGCTTTGCCTGTCCCTTCATCGCTGACATAGCTGGCCAAGATAATCCTGGGTCTTGCATCTGTGTACTGTGGACAAGCTCTGCTTTAAGTCATGTGCCCATTCCTCCCATGCACGTGACAAACATAAGCAACAAACGCAGAAAAGCTCATGTTTGTGTTTAGAAAATGTGTTTTGTTTTAGGTAATGGGTATAACATCTATATTATAATTTTAAGGTTAAAAAACCCCCACTGGGTCTGTGCTTTGTCCTGGATTTACCTAGGCTATTCATTAACATCACATGTAATTTTAATACAATTTAAGCAAACCTAGCTGGCTGGCTTAGATTTAAATTAATATCAGCTCAGCATGAAACATGTTGGAATTATGTCTTGTTGAATTTTTTTCTAACTGGGACTTTTTATCTGCTTTTTTCTTTTTAAATGAGTATGTTTGGGGAACTGCCTTTCTATTGGAGTTATACCATGGCTATCACATTCCTTCACTCAGGAGAAGGAGAAAAGCAAGAGAGAGGTTGCAAGATGTATTTTATTAAAAGAATAGCAAACACACAAAACAACAGCAAAACCCCCAAGCAAACAAGTAACCCCCCCCATACCCTCCAAATAAACACAAAAATCCTAATTCATGTCTCATTTCAGAGGAGACTGACTTAAGAAGTGGACAGAAACTCCATGTGAAACAATTTTTATTTTGATTTTTGTGGTTATTTAATAACTGTTTCTTGATTTTGCTGTTGATAATGGAGGCTGAGCTTGGTTTCCTCTGTGAATGCATAAAGCTGCTGCAGTTGTCTTCTGTTTCTTTTATTTGTTTTCACTCTGCCTAGAGCATTCCCCTGCCCCTCCACTTTTAAATGTTTCCTCTAATGGCTTTGTAAAATTAGCTTTAATAGTGATTGACATTGGCTTTATTGTCCCTTTAAGGATTGACTCTTGTCTAGCTCTATGGCTCACTCTTCAGGAAAATGTTTTTATTGTCTTTATTATTAAAGACTTGAATTTCCGGCTGTTTTACAGCTTTTTGATACAAAATAAGGACATAGATGCTGATATTCTGAGCCCTATTGTTACATTATGAAGTGGTTTAGATTCTTTAGTAAAGTAAACTTCTGAAATCAAATTGCATTGGCTTCTTCAGCTATCTTTTTGGTTATCAGCTAGCAGCAATTACCGGCACTGCTTTGGTTATGTTTTGAAATTAAGAATGCAATTCTCACTTCTTTTGTCAGCTTATACTTTAACTAACATACAAGTTTCCAATGTGGCTTGGTTAAACTGTATTTACACCTAACATGTGCAGAGCTTACATGCTTCTTTTTCATGAGCAGAAGACTGAATTGTCTTCTTGATCTTAGTAGTGAAACTGGATTCATCAAAGCTCTGAACTCTAAAAAGCAGGGAATTTACACCTGATGCAATGCCTTTAATTTGGTTGATGCTATAGAGGTAGCATGATGGTTACAATCTGCAATTTAGATTGCCACCAAAGTTTTACAAAGTATGAGGGTTTTTTTTCTTCTGTAACACGCTCGGAGCAAGTAGTGAGGTCACTGATACATTGCATGTGTTTTTCAATATTTGTCCTCTCAGTCAATCACCAACATAATTTCAGGCTACAGAATGATCTTTCATATGGATTTGTGTCAATGTATCAAGAATTTTTCTCCAAGAAAATAAGGTGGTCTGGCATCACCCATCTTTGTTTACCAAAAGCTATTGCTGTAACCACTATCACATTGATTAGGACTTAATTCCCTTTAATCAGCAGTGCTGTCTTAAACATGGCAGAAACAGCAGTTGTAGCTCATAACAGGGCTTAAAATGGGGCTTGTATGTGCATAAGAATTCTGGGATTTTTTTGTAGCTTGTGGTCATTCAGCTGGATAAATGTGGAACCATTTAAGTACCAAGTGTTGTTTTGGTCCTTGCTGGCAAATGAAGCTTAGGGAAAGAGAAGCTGTTTAAGTGAAGTAATGAGTTATATAGCTCAAAGATAGCAGAGGTTCATAGTGTTCAGAGATGAATGGGTTTCCTATACAGTGCTTTTAGCTTTCATGGGAATTCCAGATTTAGACTCGTAGTTACAAATAATTTAATTTTTTGTGAGTAGAGTGGTGGTCGTTGACTCTATGTAAACTACACAATTCAACTCTAAAATGTCTCAGAGAACTTATGGATTGGTGTTAGGACTTTGGACAGCCTCATACTTCAGCAGAAGAGTATTGCTTGTGTCTCTGTACCATGTAGATTTTATGCTTTTAGGAAATTGTATTGACTGGGCAGCCTTAGTGCTTCCTGCCTTTCAGGATTCTGAAACTCCATTGTGCCAAAGGAGTCCTGAGGCAGTAGCTACTTTGGAAACTGATTTTTAAAAAGGCTGTGTTTGGAGGATAATATTATATGCTCCTCAAGCTGTCCTGCTCTTCTCTTTAGTTGGTGCTTCTCTAGGAGGCATTCTTCTTATGCTTTTGTTCTAATCTTTCTTCACAACATGAAAGAAAATCCTCTGTTTCATGTGTTCCAGGAGTTCCTTTCATCTTTCAAAGTGATGTTCCTTACTTTGTGATGTAATTGCCTATATGAGCTTGCTTTTGAGCTGTAAAACTAAGTATTGTTTTTGTTGGCAGGGTTATAATGTTTGCCATTTACCACGTGCCATTGATTGGTAACCATAATGAAGTAAACAACTGAATGTTTTCTTCTCTCATTTTTCTGTTTCTCACAGGTTCATTGCTAAACCATGTGCCTTAGGCCTTAAAGTCCAAGCCAATGGACCACAGAAAGCTCAACCTAATGCTATCTTGGAGAAGGTTTTCACAGCTATTACAAAGGTACTGTGTCTGACTAAAATATTTACCTTGTGAAGTGGTTTGTGGCACTGTAATCTATGTCTGAACAAAGCAAAGCTAACAGATAAATGCAGTGCTGTGTTTCTGTACCTCAAATCAGAGATTCAGATATTGGGGATGTCATTAATATGCCACCTTGAGCAGTTGTGTATCCCTTTGTGATGTCTCCTGAAAATTTTCAATAAAAATTGTCAAAGAAATGCTTTGTAGATGCCATATGGCCACTTAGATATTTTTGCTTCTTATCTGTTCTTGCTTTTTATCTATTTTGTATCAATTTTTGCAAAATTGTTGCGGTTTTCAGAAAAAAAGGATTCATTGTAAGCCAGTAATATTGATACTGAGTTTTCCATGAAACTTCAAAGCTATCCCTTCTAGGGAAAGGCCTGTTTTGCTGGTGTCCCAGCTAAAGGAGAACAACATAGAAAAGTGGGGAGAAATTGACTGAAAAATGTTTTATTTACAGCTTGCATATCTTTCTTGTACAAGATTTCCCCCCACAACTTACATATCTGTCTCTACATCTCTCACCATATGACATCTCAACCTGTTTGTTGTTCTGTCCATGCTTTTCAAGCATCCCAAATTTTTCTGCAGGAGCCTTCCATTCTCACCTTGGCTCCAGACTGCAGCTGGGCAGCAGTGTAAACAGAGAGTATTAAAGTCATAGAGGATAAAACTGGGTTCAGTGTCACAGACAGTGAAATAGGCTGTGGATCTGTCTTGCTTGTGTGTCCTACACTACCCAGAGATCACCATGGCACTTGCTGTGACTTTGTCCTGTTTTTCGGGAGGGGATTGTGTGTGCCTTGTTTCTGAAAGCTTCAGGATATACTCATACAGACTCAGCTGAAGGAAGAATGGTTAGGTTTTGTTAGTTGTGCGGTTGTTTATTTGTTTGTTTATTTGTTTATTTATTTTTTAATATTTTGTCATAAAAACTGGGAGTCTGACACAGGGCCTGAAATACCTGTGACTGTGAAGAGCTCCAAACAAAAGTATCTGCTTTCCTGCAAGAGTCTGGTAGCTGCTCTCAGAGAAAGTGTCCAATTTAGCTCCCTGCCTTTTTTGAATCCTATACAGCAGTTCTCTATTGTCAAACTCCCAAGAGCTGCATCAAACATTTCATTTTTCTAAGGTTACAGAAATTGCTTTTCTTAACCTTCCGTTGAAAAACTAGTAGATACTTTGGTAGACTATGAAACTTTATTGAGATGGATGCCAAATTCATCCAACTTCAACCTTCTCTTGTCTCATCCTTTCATTTCTCTCTCTTTCCTGTGTTTTCTTGGAGGCTGATAGACAAAATTTCAGCCTAACAGAAATCTTGAACGTCTGTGTCTTGCAACAGTAAAAAATTTAAGGCTCTGTTTTGTAAGAGCTCTTGTGCTCCATTCAATATATGTAACTGATTTGCAGAAATAAAGCTAAAGTTCCAGAAAACAGATTATGCATTTTTCTGTTTATTTTAAAAAAACTGTGTGATCAGGAGAAATACATAAGAAGTACATATGCTTCACTGTACATGTAGAATTGCTCTATGATTGGAGATTTGTCCTGTATTGCTCTTCAAATTAAAGACAAACTAATTTTCTTTTGCCTTACCTCTGCACTGGTTTGCACCCATGCTAATGGTGTGAGACTTCTACATTTTCTGCTTTGGAGAATATTTGTGTGTATTTAGTTTTACAGAAAACAATTCCAGAAAATGTCTCCCTGTTGTCAAGGTGATTTGCCTTTTGAAGTTGCCGCTTTGTTTAGCGACCTCATTTTTTAACATTATTGTGCAGAAGCATGGGATTTATCTTCTTTGTGTACCATCTTCCCTAGTGCAAGAGTCCATAGGACAAAGATCCTGATGTAGGAGAGTGGAGCAGGTATTAGTGTGTGGCAGGCAGTGGGGTGTTTGTAAGAGCCACTGCTCCAGAAATGCATGGCATTTTATGGCTGCTAAACTTCACTTCCAAGTCTCAAGCAAGTTTCAATCCCATTGTCCCTTTAAAGTTTTTTATCAGTAATGGATCTGCACATCACATTACGGCATCTGTCCTTCTAGATTAATTGTCATTGTAAATGTATTCTGACGGGATCTGCCAGTAGAGATTTCTGTGAATTTATTTCTGTTTATCCATGTGTCTGACTGACAGCCTTGGTAAGAAGGCTAGAGTCAATTTCAGTGGTTCTGAATTTAAAGTGCTAATGCAGTTGAGCTAGAAAATAATTTTAGTGCTTCTGTGTTTTGTAGCATCCAGATGAGAAGAGGCTGGAAGGGCTCTCCAAGCAGCTGGACTGGGATGTGCGCAGCATTCAGCGTTGGTTCCGACAAAGGCGCAACCAGGAGAAGCCCAGCACCCTTAGGAAGTTCTGTGAGAGCATGTAAGGATGCATGTTCTCTTCTTGTGTCTTGTTGAGCCTGTGTTCTCATCAGTTTTCCCCTTTGTTTTTCACAGGTACTTTTGCAGACAATTAGAAAATGATACAAATTGGTAGAACATAACTAATGAGAAAAATAATCTTCGTTTTCCTGAAGGAGTCAGATTGTACTTTTCAGGGATTTTCAGTGGCCAAAAGCTTGCAGAAATCATGTTGCTGTGATTCTATACTAGCAGGGCACCAGCTAACACCAAATCACCTGATGTTAGTGTGCTACTTACAGCACTACCTTTAGCCATACAAGCTGATGCACATCTGAAATGGAGGAACAAAGATAAAAGGCAGTTGGGCTGTTTAAATAAAAGAAGACAGAAGATAAATTGTCTAAAGAAGACTGCCCTTTATTAAACAGAATAACTTAGGTGTCAGAATGCTTAAGTCTGTTCTTTGGTATTTACAGCTAAAATCCTCCTTCCTTAATGTTTAATAAATCAAGGCATGATGAGATTATGACAAAATGGCTTGGTCATTTTGTTGCCAGCAGCTGCTGGCCTAAGAGTTACTATTTTTTGAGATCAGTGAAGAACAACCTTTATTCTGCAAGGGTTGTAGTTAACTTGTCAGCTGTGGACTCTTGAGAAAACGTATTGCTTTATTAGTCTTAGAGGTAGCATGTTTGGGTGGCATATTTTGCTTCCTCTGTAACTCAGCTCAAAGACCTCGCTCTCTTGGACTGGTGTGAGGGCATCTGGTGAACCTACAGATAAAAAAATTTAAGCATACCATGAAATACTGGCATGGATAGGATAGTAATAGGTGCTGAATTTGTGGCATGCATTATCAAAATGGGCTGCAAATGACAGCTATGAGTGTAGACTGGAAGGTAAGGTCAAGCTGTAGTGAAGTGCTGAAAGAATATAGTGCCAGCTTTGTTTAGAGGGAGCCATTGGCATTTCTGCAATATGTGTATTTAACAGTCATGATAAAACTTGTCCAAACAGAAGCGAGATGGCATAAATAATAGGTCAATACTTCAGGTTCTCTCTGTTCATGGTTTGCAAGAGGTACAGTGAGAGCTGCCTCTCTATTTCTGTGCTACCTAGTGCTGTGGGAATGTGGTGTTATCCAACCCAACTGTGTGTGCCTTGCCCTGGGAGCATTTCCAGTGGTGGACTGTGTGCCACCAGCTGACCTGATACATCTTGGACAAAGTTGTTGGCACGTAGTCAGATTACTGCTGGGAGCCCAGGGTTCCCTTTTATCCCTTCAGTACGGGTTCAGTTAAAGTGTGGTTTAGTTAAATCTGTCCATCAGAGTGCTAAGCAAGGTACTTCAGAAAGTTTTGACCAAAGAAATCCTTTGGTGTGGGGTCTGTAGCCTTTTCATAGCTATTGAGTTAATGGGGTGGCTTTTCAGAGATGTAGTGACTGTGTGTGACAGGTGCTTTGAAGCTCTGAGCTCCTGAAGTTCATGTTCCCACAGCAGTCATGGGAAGGGGAGCACTCCAGTCTTCAGTAATTCAGGTGCCAGTGGAGAGTTTCGACAGAACAAAGTGTGCCCTTATCTCATAAGCAAGAGCAGAGCAAACAGAATGACAGTGATCTCTGCCTACACCTTCATCCTGCTGAGCTGCTGTTGTCCCTCCAGAGAAGGCTTCAGTTTTCCTGGGAACAGCACTGATTGACTGTGGCGTGGGAAGGAAAGTGAGAGAACCCACGGCAAATGTGGATCTGCCTAAAAAGAGCTCCAACTCTTTTCACATGGAGACAATTTAATTTACTGCTAGACAAAGTGTTCCTTGGGCCCAGAGTGGCTTTTCCATGATGAAAGGGAAGAGGAGCTGTGCCAGAAGGGCTGTAGGCCATTTTTGACTGCCTTATCTTGCTTGCAAATGAATAGCGTGGGCACTATCTAAGGTAGAGTAGCTTCAATGTGACAAAAGCTGAGAGTGAAATTTAATGATAAACACACTTGCCTGAGATGAATGATGCCAAAGACCCAGCCCCAAACACACTATGCCAGTAACTTCATTACTAGGTTCTTATTGTCACAGATTTCTCACTTTCTCTAACCCTTCCCTTCTTTTCAAACAATTACAATTCTGATCATGAACAGAGTGCAGAGACACCCCAAAACCTACACTGCTCGCTGCTTCTTGAGGGGGAAGGGGTGTTTGGTGGGTTTTGTAGTTTTTTTTTGTTTCTGTTTTGTTTGGTTTTGTAGGTTTTTTGTTGTTTTGATCTGTGGGTTTGTTTTTTTTGTTTGTTTTGTGGTTTGTTTGTGTGTTTGTTTGGTTTGGGGGTTTTTGTTTGTTTTTGTTTTGTGGGGAGTATTTTTTGATGGTTTTGTTGATTGTTTGACTGGAGTAATTCCTTTGCTGCCAGTCTTTGTCAGATATTCAGGCCATGGGCAGATGATGGTTATATGAAGAAAACCACAGTAGTAAAATCTCCTGTTTATTGATACTGTTTGTGTCACAGCATTATAGTGAAAATAAATTACTTTTTCAGGAACCTTTCATAGCCAGTATTCACACCATAGAGTTTTGTCTGTCAATGTGGAAGAGAAGGTGTAATTTGATTTTGGAGCCATAGAGACCCTAATGGTGAGACCCTAGTGGTGTTACATATCTGCTTAAGCTTTCAGATGTTATGGTGATAAGTATTTATATGAAACATGAAATAGATAATTTCACTAGGTGGTGATTAATGTATATAATCACCAGGTGGTGATTAATGATCCAGTCAGAAAGTAATAAATGCAGCACTGAGTATTATCTTACTAGCAAGTCAGTCCTCATATCCCAAGGATTAGGTGATTCTGGCAGGAAACCTGGAGTTCAAGTCACAGTTTGTAGTCACTAGGAAAGGTATCCACCTAGTATAACCTCAGATTGCAAAGCTCAGGCATGTAGCCCACTATATGAGCTGCAGAGAATAGTCTGTCCATAGCTTTTCTTTCTATTTTGTGAATTTAGACCATTTGCACTCCTTTCTTCAACTTGAAAATCCAACACCCATAAAGGAGGGAAAAAAGTGGTCAACTAAGTGTGCAAAATGAACTTTTCTACTTCCATGTATTTCTGTTGGGCTTTTATTATTCTTTTCTCTCTGTCCCTATGGCACAGCCTAAATCAAGAATATTATTTTGCTTATTGCCACACAGAATATAGAATCCAATAATATCTTTATTAATGTTTGATGTGTCAGAAGGCCAGTGCAGGAGTGATTCCCAAACCACTTCCAGTGTCCTCCCAGTTTCAGTGTGTTGTTTCTGCTCATAGTACCAGTGTGTAGGCATGTCTGGTTTTCTCAAAGAGAGAGCATTCTGTCCTCTCCCCTTGTTGTCTGGCACAAAGGGAGAGAACCTGTGATGCCAGAAGTTACTAGCCTGGGATTTTGGAATGTTATCAGGCCGATGGCTTGTCTGTCCTACAGCTATGTACATTTAAGCGAGCTGTTTATTAGAGATATGTATGTGGTTTCTAAGGAGTGTCTGGAAGAAACATATGGCCAAGAGAGATGTTTTGAGTTTCTGCAACATTCTGCATGTGAAAACATGGAAATGTGCAGACAGAAGAGCCAAAGATCTATTTTTTCCTCCCCTTTATTCTCTAGAAGAAGCTTGGATACTAAATTGTCTGTAAGTAGGGTGTCTTTTTGTTTTGATGTAGGGGAGCGAAGAGCCTCTGTCTTGTATCCTAGCTAGATATTCTTTTTCCTAAGGAATTGAAATTTTGTTTATGCACGTTTTGTTGTTGCTTTGGAGGAAGATTTTATGTGTCTGTGTGTCTGTGCCTGTATATGAGTGTGTGTGTGTGCACATGTATGTGTATAGATGTAGAGGAATGCCAATTGGGTTTTTTTTTTTTTGCTTGTTATACACGTTTGTGTGAAAATTCTGTGGGCTGTTAGCAACTTCTTGGGCATACTGCTTTTCTCAACTAGCAGAGTAATTCTGTTCCTACAAAATTGTACTGGAAAAATAACTGTGAAAGGGATAGAAATGAAGACAGCTGTTTGGTTGTTGAAATTCTGAACTGTACTGATGCACATGATAACAGAACGTGCAAAAGAATTCATCAGTCTGTGCTCTGTGTTGAGCAGTAAAGCATTAGAAAATAAATAGGCTTTTAGCTCTGAGTATTTAATAGCATCAGGCTCTCCTAAGCCAGCTTCTAACACACTTCTGATCTGAGGAAAAAAATTGTGGTAGGTGGTACTTTGAGTCCATTTAATTTTGATTTGTCAACTGCTCCAGTGCTAGATGGAATGAAGGCCTAACCAGTGTTTCATGAAAACTGTTTTTCATGAAACTGTGTTTCAGTGTCCTAGAAAAGCAAAGAGGGGATGAGTCTGTGAAGACCCACAACGTGCTCTGCAGCAAATGTGGTTGTTACTCGTCAGTGGCCACAGAACTGCACTATCTCCCTTGTTTTCCTTTGTTGTTTTCCATGGAATGGGAGTTGCTGTTACTTGGGCAATCAGATATTTGGTATTGTGTTGATAAGTGGATTATGACATGAGGGGCAAGTAGGTTCAGGTGTTGGCAGAGTCACATTTGTGAGGCAGCTTTTGGATGAAGGATGTAGGTGTTCAATGAAACATGAAGGGAGTTGGAGCCTGTAAAATTGTTCCAGAACAGGGAATATGCGTGTTTGCTGAGTGCAAGAGGTGTTTATTATGGCTTCAGGTGGTAGGGGAGTTGAGAAAGGAGACTCTTAATTGCTAGTAAGTGGTAACTGAAGTGCAGAGTAACAAAGATGATCTGGCAATTTTTATCTGTACTAAGCAAGCATGTAAAATACTGCCTTTTTACAATAGTGCTGTAAGAGTTGCATTTAGACTCTGGAGTTAATACATTCAAGGACCTATTACTCTCTTAAAAGAATTATGTCAAGTAACATCACTGAAGAGAGATGTGCTTGAATGCAAGGCCTCTGTAGAAAGTAAAAGTGAATGAGGCATTTATACTGAGACTCATGTCAGGGAAACTAGAGCTAT